TCTGTATTTATTATTTTCTGGTTTAGGGCTTCTATCCCTCTATTTTCTTAGCATCAGGGCTTAATTGGAATAGGAGTTCTCCAAAACTCATTTTCGTACTTTTAAGGTAAAGAAAAGAAGTGATTTACTATAGAGTTTTATTTGCTAATTTCTAACTCCCTTAGGAGTTTTATTTGCTAATTTTTATATGGGAACCATCGAAGATAGGGTCTTTAGTAGCAGACAAAAACCAACTGTATACTGCCGTTATGTAGATGACATATTCGTAATAGTAAAAGACTCAGATGAACTAATTGACCTAAAAAGACACCTAGAGAGAGAGTCAGTACTCCGATTTACACATGAAAATAGTGAAAATAACAGTCTGCCATTCTTGGATGTACTAATAACAAAAACAGGAACCTCTTTAAGCACCAACGTATATACCAAGCCCACCAACATAGGATTATGCCTGAACGGTAGAAGTGAGTGCCCCCAAAGATACAAAGCCAGTGTTCTCAATGCTTATATTCGTCGAGCGCTTACCCACTGCTCTGAATGGAGCAACGTGAGTAGAGAGTTTGAAAGAGTAACTCAGGTATTGGTGAACAACGGATATAGCAACGCGGAAATAAACGCTGCTATAAGAAGACACTTGGACCGTTGGTATAATTCAGAACCTGGAACAGAAACCACAACACCCCCAATAAAATTATATTACAAATCAACCATGCACAGTGAACATATAAAAGAGGAAAGAATAATGAAAGAAATAATCCGTAAAGGAGTAAAAAGCACTACTCCTAACCAAAACATAAACCTGATAATATTCTACAAAACCAAGAAGACTTCCGAACTCCTTATCAAAAACAGCCTGAAGCCGACGGAGAACCCTCTACAGCAGTCAAGCGTTGTATACATGTACACTTGCCCCCACGAAGGATGTAACCTTCAATGTAAGTACATAGGTATGACGTCGACCAAGCTGACGAGGCGTTTGACATGCCATCTTCAATCTGGTGCCCCTAGGAATCACATGAGACAAGCCCATGACATTACTCTAACAAGAGAAATGTTGAACAAGAATACTTGCATAATAGACAAAACCCAAGATTCAAGAAGATTACAAATTCTTGAGGCAATTCACATAAGAATAGAGCGACCTACCATGAACACCCAAATCACGGAACTATTTACTCTACCCACCATGAGAGTAAGGACAAGACAAGAACATATCGATGCCAACACAGAAGACAATGTCCAACATAACAGGCCAATTACACTGGATTAATCTTTGTGTTTAGATAGGAGATGCCTCGTATGGGCCAATAAGCCTTCTGCAGCCCCTATGTTTATCCCTTATGTATCCCCCCATGTTTTTCACCTTCATTGTATTATCACCTGACCTAATGCGGGTATAAAATCAACTAGTATTGTAAGATCTGTCCACTTGAGAATGAACCATGGAGGTTCGAAACGTCGTGCAAATTATACAAATAAGTGTAATACTCTATAGTAAATCACTTCTTTTCTTCACCTTAAAAGTACGAAAATGAGTTTTGGAGAACTCCTATTCCAATTAAGCCCTAATGCTAAGAAAATAGTTAGAGGGATAGAAGCCCTAAACCAGAAAATAATAAATACAGAATATGCGGTCATATTCAATGAAACATGTTTGAAAGAAAACCTGCTGCCAGTATACACCAATATAAACCCACATGACCCAGCAGTCCGCAATACAGAGTTTACCTATATATATGGGTTCGAGTATATATATGATATATATATGTATATATTCATATATATATATATATATATATATATATATATATATATATTATATATATATATATATATTTAGTATAGGTACCACCTCTGGTGCCAATGTGGGGACCCATAGCCTCGGAGAAGAAAATAAAAAGTATTCAGAGGAGACCTTGTGGCTTCTCACTGAACACTAATATTATCTTCTCCTACCACCCCCATTCTTTTGTATGTACACATATATATTTACTTTATTTAAACTTTGTTACAAAAAAGGAGTTACATATGGGTTACAAAGATGGTTATCATAGGTTGTCGAGTTCCTCCAGCTCCTCAGATGGCGGGCAGGAACCCTGGATGCAGTACGCATTTCCCCTCTGTATCGCCACACTGAGGCGCTGGAAAAGAAAGCTTGCAGCTCTCGGGTCCCTTGTTGTTTCAATGAGCCTAGAACCCAGTTCCTTCAAAAAACTGGTAGCACTTTTACCCCAGGCGCCGAGTGTCTCAGAAGCAATGGGGACAAAATTGTAGTGGTGATCCAGTTCTCTATACTTACGGGATTTGGCTGCTTCCTTGTGGGTGGCAGCGCCACCTGGTTGTGCAACACTGATATCCTCTGATTTTTGTCTGTAGGCAGACAGACAAAATCCTACAGACAAAAATCAGAGGATACAACTGACGATTTACTATAAAACCAGAAAAACGGCCAGCCTACTCATGAGAAACACTCCAGACACAAAGCAGAACGCTTTAAAAGAGACCAACGTCGTCTATGCCTTCAAATGCCCTCTTGGGGACTGTAAGCTCCAAAAACCCAGTATATAGGCAAGACAACAACATCTCTTTCTAGACGTTTAACGATGCATAAGCAACAGGGCTCCATTAAGGAACATATAATCTCTTCCCACAACCAAACCATCGCCAGAGAAATCCTAGTAAACAACACAGAAATCATCGATAGATACAGCGATAGCAGGCGGCTTGACGTCTGCGAGGCACTACACATTAAGAAGTCAACACCAGCAATCAACAGCCAATTAATGCACAACTATATTCTACCCACCTCAAGACTCCGCTCCAATATAGAAGCATCAAGAAATATGGACCAATAGGCTTTCTAAAATCACTTCCATTCAACACCCATTGTTTCGTGTTCTGTCTTGTGTTTATGAATTTAATACCCTATTAATACCACCTCACCCCATCCACCTCACTCAAATGTAGATATAAACAAATCGAAGATGTGTAAGTTCTATTCAGTTGTGTATGTGTAAACTAAAGTCTTTGAAAATGTAATAAGTTTTACGAAACGCGCTCAAGTGTCGCGTCAGACTAGAAATAAAAATGAATTTTGGCGAAATGATTTTTGAATTACCACCAACAGTGAAAAGAAACGTACGAAAGATCGAGAAAATTCGTGTTAGAATTATCAATCTTACTTTTTCGGTCATGCGTTCTGGCTACTAGGTACGACATTATATATATATATATATATATATATATATATATATATATATATATATATATATATATATATATATATATATATATATATATATACGCACTTCTCAGCCTACTATTCAAGGCCCGATTTGCCTAATATATGAATTAATATAGATAATAGCTTTTTTTGGCTATCTAACCTAATACCTATAATATAGGTTATATATATATATATATCTACGTTAATTTTAACTCCAATAAAAAAAATTGACCTCATACATAGAGAAAAGGGTTGCTTTATCATTTCATAAGAAAAAATTATAGTAAATATATTAATTCAGGAAAACTTGGCTTATTAGGCAAATATAGTAGGCTGAGAAGTGAGTTCTGGCTACTAGGTACGACATATATATATATATATATATATATATATATATAGCCAGAACGCACTTCTCAGCCTACTATGCAAGGCCCGATTTGCCTAATAAGCCAAGTTTTCATGAATTAATTTTTTTTCGACTAACTAACCTAACTTATAAAGATAGGTTAGGTAGGGTTGGTTAGGTTCAGTCATATATCTACGTTAATTTTAACGCCAATAAAAAAAATTGACATCATACATAATGAAACGGTTAGCTTTATCATTTCATAAGAAAAAAATTAGAGAAAATATATTAATTCAGGAAAACTTGGTTTATTAGGCAAATTGGGTCTTGCATAGCATGCCGAGTACGACGTTCTGGCTACTAGGTACAACATATTATATATATATATATATATATATATATATATATATATATATATATATATATATATATATATATATATATATATATATATATATATATATATATATATTTTCACCACTTCCCCTTCATCCCTGTAACATGCATTTCCCTTCAGTCTTCGTCAATAAACTACACAAGATAAAATTTTAATCATGCAGAAAATAATACACTAGATGAATCTTTGTAAGGATAGAGTCTGGTATTTAGCGAGATATAAAACTAGTGCCATTTATCATTTCATGAAAAATTGGGGCGAGGGAGGGGGGGGGGAGGGTTAAGGAAGTGTATGGCTCTAAACCATATGTATCATCACAGGTGTGTGGCTCTAAACCATATGTATCATCACAGGTGTGTGGCTCTAAACCATATGTATCATCACAGGTGTGTGGCTCTAAACCATATGTATCATCACAGGTGTGTGGCTCTAAACCATATGTATCATCACAGGTGTGTGGCTCTAAACCATATGTATCATCACAGGTGTGTGGCTCTAAACCATATGTATCATCACAGGTGTGTGGCCTGTGATGATCCCCTGACCTGGTTGATACCTGGTTGATGGGGTTCTGGGAGTTCTTCTACTCCTCAAGCCCGGCTCGAGGCCAGGCTCGACTTGTGAGAGTTTGGTCCACCAGGCTGTTGCATTGCATTTGCATTGCATCACTTTGCAATGTTTACCCTGGCTCTCCCCAACCCCCGAACAAATGCACATTCTCACCTACAGAAAGCCTTCCCGTCTCGAAATATAGTCTTCCCGTCTTGGCGCCTGCTTTTGATAATTACATGTTTTAAATATCTGTAAAAAAAAAAAAAAAAGTAATTTCATGTAATTCCATTACTTGTGAGCCATGTCCAGCGTTTGCGGATTTTTGTCATTAGTGTGGGGGTGTTAAAGAGATATAGCAGTTTCGTCAGTGCCTTTCCGGTAGGTGTAAATGTATCATATGTAAAAGGATAACAGAGGGTAAATTTTGAACGTAGCTGTGAGTCACAGAGACCTGTGCTGAGTATATAAGAACGATCACTTCAGGCGAAGCTCCAGTCCTTTCGCCATGTTCACCTCCGGTAAACACCAGCCCAGAACACCTTCCCGGGAGACGCCGAGGACAAGGCGGGAGACGCCGAGGACAGGGCAGGACACGCACTGGACAACGCCCCAAGAGACGCACTTCGCACTCCCCCAAGAGACGCACTTCACACTCCCCCAAGAGACGCACTTCACACTCCCCCAAGAGACGCACTGGACAACCCCCCAAGAGACGCACTGGACAACGCCCCAAGAGACGCACTGGACAACGCCCCAAGAGACGCACTGGACAACGCCCCATGAGACGCACTATACAACCCCCCACGAGACGCACTATACAACCCCCCACGAGACGCACTATACAACCCCCCACGAGACGCACTATACAACCCCCCACGAAACACACTGGTCCACCCCCCACGAAACGCACTGGTCCACCCCCCACGAAACGCCGACGAGGGCACGGGTGCAGGATTCTCTTCACTTACACCCAAACGAGTCATGTGACACCCTGGACTCCGCAACAGTCTCGACTAACCAGTACGACAATTTTAACCGTAGTGGAGGAGCAATGATGCTGGAGGGAGCCAGCTGGTCGGCCGCAGGTGGTGGCGCCGTAGCAGCTGAACCAAGCGAGTACCAGGGCCCAGCCACTCCTCCCACGGACGACGGCCACACTTCCCTCCTCTTCAAAGAGAAGTGGTACGAGAAGCCCCCCCAGACGGACCCCAGGCTGGAGAAGAAGAGGCAACAGGCGCTGAGATCCTTGAAACAACGCTGTAAGTGCAAGCAGCGGGAGGAGGAACAACGGGTCATGTTGGAGAGACTACCCCACCAAATCACCGACCTCAGGAGAGAGAGAGACATGCGAACGCAGACCGTCGCTGTGTTGGAAGATCTTCTTCACCAGTGCCAGATCCACACTCAGGATCGCTGTGAGGTCAGGACCCGCCCTCAGTGTACACAACACCACCTCGATACACAAATGTTCAGTTTTCAGACGTAGTATCTCATAAAAGTAAACACTTATAACTTAAAAAAAACATGTATAATTTATAGCTGATAAGTATATATAAATCTTACCTAATTTATGGTTCTCCCCTCGCATTACAGGTTAGCTCGACGAACACCAGCAGTGGGCAGGCAAATGGCTGCTAGACCTCAATCTCAACAAGTGCAAGGCAGTGAAGATGGGAACTGAGAAAGGCCATCAAGAGGAAACTTGCAGCTTAAGCGAATTCGGAAAGTTACAAAGATTTTTGAGTGGCTATAATCCTAAATTAACGCCAAAGGGGCATAACCAGGGCAACATCGACAGCAAATGGGACGCTGGTAAATATTGGAGCGTGAATTAAAACACCAAATAACGACTCTCTCCAAGCACTATACACATACACCGATGCTGGAATATGCAACACCCGCCTGGAATCCGCACTTTATAAATTACTAAAAAAATGGTTAAGTTCAGAGGCTCCCAATAAGACGAGTGACAGAACTAAGAGGGTTAGGCTACAAGCATGGGTTAAAGGAACTAAATCTCGTTAAAAGAGAAGAAAAAGGGATATGATTACTACATACAAGATACTGGAGGAATAGACAAGGTGGATAATACAGCATCTTTACACTGAGAGTAAGTAAGACAAGTAGACGGTAATCGCTCACCCATTCATGCTAGTGAACAAGTTGGGTATGCCTAACGTTCTGTAGCTATACATTTTCCCCATTTAATTCAATGTAATTTTCCAGATAAATTAAATTCTGTATGTATTACAAAATAAATTGATTATTATACACTGTCTCTTATCTTGAAATTTTGCCTTTGGACTGAGTAATGGAATAATATTCTAATACATGTGGAGTGTGCGGGGAGCGGAAGGCGGCCATCTTGTCAACACCACCCAGGTGTGCGGTGTCCCAGGTCGGGGCGCCCGCCACGCTACACGACACTGGTTCTTGGAGGTTCTATCTTTAGATGATTTCGGGGCTTTTAGCGTCCCCGCGGCCCGGTCCTCGACCAGGCCTCCACCCCCAGGAAGCAGCCTATGACAGCTGACTAACACCCAGGTACCTAATTTACTGATAGGTAACAGGGGGCATAGTGTGAAAGAAACTCTGCCCATTGTTTCTCGCCGGCGCCTGGGATCGAACCCAGGATCACAAGCACCGCGTGCTGTCCGCTCGGCCGACCGGCTCCCAGGGAGGGACGAAGATATACCCCCTCTTCCTCCCTCCCCCCCTCTCTCTCTCTCCCTCCCTCCCCCCCCCCCTCTCTCTGTCTCTGTCTGTGTGTGTGCACTCACCTAATTGTACTCACCTAGTTGTGCTTGCGGGGGTTGAGCTCTGGCTTTTTGGTCCCACCTCTCAACTGTCAATCAACTGGTGTACAGATTCCTGAGCCTACTGGGCTCTATCATATCTACACTTGAAACTGTGTATGGAGTCAGCCTCCACCACATTACTTCCTAATGCATTCCATCTGTCAACAACTCTGACACTGAAAAAAATTCTTTCTAACGTCTCTGTGGCTCATCTGGGTACTTAGCTTCCACCTGTGGAGAAGTATTAGGGGGAGTTAGCAAACGAGAGAGAGAGAGAGAGAGAGGGAGACGATGAGGAAAGGGCAAATTAGGGAAGGGGCAAGTTTGAGGGGAGGGGTGGGGGGAAGTTAGAGAGGGGATAGTGCTAGAGGGGTGGAGGTGGGAATTGTGAGGGGGAGGGGGGGGCACGTGATTACTGGATATATGGTGGAGGTGGGGAAGATGAGTTTTTGGAAGATTGATTGAAGGGGATGTGGATAGCCCAGGGGAAGGGGGGATGGACCGGGGTAGAATGGAAGTTCGCCGGAGAAGAGAGGGGGGGGGGGGTTGGAAGGGGTAGGGAACGAGGGGTGTTGGGCAGCGCGCACCTACTGCGAACGTTCGCTGCTGGTCTTGTTGGACACCTCCTCCGCGCTGTCTCCCTCCTTCCCCACACCTACCTACACCCCCCCCCCACCCACCCACCTACCTACGCGCACAGTGCCCTTGTTAATGTTATTTCTCAAGATCTTTGACTCCCCGGAGTTGAACTTGAGCTCTTGGGTCCTATATATTAACCTACAAAACACCATTATATCCAACACGAGTCAGAGAGGGGTGGTGGGGGATGGGGGTACCAACTTCACTATTAGTCTTCGTTGGTAGGAAAAAAAATCACCATTACGGTGCATTTCTTTAATGCACCATGATTTAAACGCAGTATTTGACAGCGTTAAAACTGCGTTGCATTAGACGAAGGGCAGGTTGGCTGGTGCACTGTTGACCCCCGGAGTTACCCAAGTTTAGCTTTGATTTCCAAAGAGCTTGGAAAGGATGTGGGAGGAAGAAGGATGGGGCGATGAAATTCTTGGAAGAGGATTTGGATGTGGAGAGAG